CCCAGGTTTTGGCCCCCACTCAGCTCCTCATCACAGTGCCAGTGAGGGGTGTGGCTGGCTACAGGGAAGCCAGGGAGCAGCCCTGGCGGTACTACAACCTGAAGGGCGCCCGGCTCTCCTGCCCCTTGCGGGCCCCCGAGGGCCTCCAGCAGTGGCTGTGCGTGGAGCAGTTCATGAAGAACACCTGGCAGTGGCACCAGGCTGACGTGAACATCGAGGGGGACATTGTGCCCGGCAAGGTCCTCCAGGTATTCCGGCAGCTGGTGGAAAAAGCGATTACAACCTGTCACCTCTCAGGTGAGCTGATCGAGGAAAGGGGTAAGGGATGCTGCGCTCTTCCTCTTTGGCTCTAAAAACCTTGCTTGGAGCTTATACGAGACAGGAATCACACACTTGTTGCAATAATGTAGAAAGGTGCTCTTCCTTCTGTGGCGACAAACCAAAGATGGGAATTTGTACTCACTGAACACTCCAGAGGATTTAAGCAGATTACTATCCTGGCAGGGACACAATAGGCTGTGAGTTATGCACCTTTTCCAAGACCTACATGCACTTATTTAAAACAGCCAATTATCCACAAACTCTAGATGTTTATTGGCAATTTCTTCTGCAACAACCTCCAGCTAACTGCAGAGCCCCAGTGCATTGAAAGGCCGCCTTTGCGATGTGTAATTCCATTTGCTTGAAGAAAGGGATACAGGCTGTTGAGATAGCTCAGTGGACTAAGTGCCTGCTTAGGTGAGTGTGGGGACCAGGGTTCAATCCCCAGCACCACATGCTGCACTGGCCCTGCCCTCAGGTGTGCTGAGCCGGCCACCAAGACCAGGCGTGGGGAGGCTGAAATCAGGAGAATCACTATGAGTCTGAACTATGTAGTGAGACCCTGTGCCAAACACATCAAAAGGAGAAGAAAAGGATACTTTTGAAGATTTTCATAGTAAACATAACCCATGCTTCATGGATTCTTATAGAAAACACTTTCATGGATTATTTAATCTCTACGATAACCTGAGACAGTAAGAATTACTTTTGGACCACTTTTACAGATGAGCAAACCAAGGCTCAGATGAAGGCTGGATAAGTAACTGGCTGGCGGTGTGTGCATCAAGCCAGGAGCGAGTGGAGTGAGCCCCAGAGGCAGGGCGGGCCGGCCAGCCAGGCGGCTCCCACACACACGCTCAGCTCTTTTACCGAGCAGCATAACCACCAGTGAAAGTGCAAGCAAGCACTTCACCTGCACCAGCACGGTGAGGTGATTGCGTAACTGATGCTCAGGTGCCAGGCGCGCTCGGGTTCCTGCCCGGGCGGCTCCGGCACAGGCAGCTGGCCCTTTTACACACCTGGCCAAGGAAAGTCGTGCTTTCCTTCCCGGTAGCCTAACACAAGTAATGAGCTTCCATTTACTTCTCTGAGCAAAGAAAAAGAAAGCAATAGGTTCTGATTCAGGACTCATCCTTATCTGTAACAGAGGCAAACAAACAAAACACTCTGGGTGTGGAAAGAAGGGACAGGAAATCAGAACTGAGGATGGTCCAGGGAGCAAGCTGGAAGACTTGGCCTGCGTCATCTTCCTTTATTCCCTCCCTGTGTCTCTGTCTCTGTATCTCTTGCCCTGTCATCCTGTCTCTGTCTGTGTTCTGTCTCTCTCTCCGTCTCTGTTTCTGTCTCTCAGTCAGTCTATCTGTTCTATTTCTGTCTCTTTCTGTCCCTCTGTCTCTCTGTCTCTGTCAGTTGGTCTGTCTGTCTGTCTCTGTTCTGTCTCTTTCTTTCTCTCTCTCTCTCTGCCTGGCTGGTAGATGAGGCAGTGACTCCCCCAAAACAGTGACCATGACATCCTTAGAGTGGCCTTATGATTACAAGGGCTGACAGTGATAAATACACCCAGGATCTGGGTGGCTCAGTGGCTGGATGGCAGAAATGCCATCCAAGAGACTGACTCAGACCAGAATTCCACCAAAGTGACTGTCCTTGAGCAATGTCAGAACTTCTGGGTGAAGAATGAAGAAATGACACTGTCCTTCTTATGCTTGCATTCTGTGGAAAACCAAGGTCTGGTGTGAAATGAAATGAAAAAAAACATATAGATGATTTTTACTTTTCTGGAACAAAACACTCTACCCCCCAAATTAAAAGGGGAAAGGTTTATTTAGCTTACAGTTTGTAGAGGTTTTAGTTCATAATCAGCTGGCTCCAAGGCCAGGTGGCACATGGCAGAGTGGCATCAGGTCAGGCCTGGAAAAGAACAAAAGCCATAAGAGAGGGACACAAGTGACAAGGCTCTTTCTGTCTCGTACAGTGTATGCAGGCCACCTGCCCGAGGGTAGAGATAGTGCTCATACCCACAATCCAAGCATTGGACCATGAATTAATCAAATACTCTAGAAGCCCACCCCATCACTACATGAGGCTTTGGGGGCATCTAGACCCAAACCGTAATAGAGGGTTACCTATTCTTTTAGTTTATGGCTTCTTCCGTTGAACCTTCTAAAAATAATCTATGAATTTAAATGAAAAGATACACTTTGGGAGTGTAGCTCAGTGAGGGAACACGCTTGACACATGTTAGGGTCAGGGTTCAATCTCCTGCATCACGTATATCAAATAAAATACACTAAGTACTACAAAAATTTTTGGAAAGGGGATTTTCTCGCAGCGCTCTGATGGGCGGGCGGGCTGGCTAGCGGTGAGGCCTGCTGCAGGTCTCCCTCTCGAGTGCTGCAGGTGCTGTGGGAAAGCCACCCACGCACCAGGAGCCCTCACCCGCACTGCTCCTGGATAGCGTCCTTCTCTGAAAGCTCGCACTGCCGCGCCCTGTGGCTCCCTTCTCATTGTGTGTCTGGTCCTCTCCCATTAGGCAAAGTCAGCATGCTGGCAAACAGCCCTGCAGTCTGGGTGGCCGTGGAAACCTCCACCTGTCAAGTGGAAATCGAGCTGGCCCCCACAGTCGAGATCCCCACTGCCTGGCCGGAGAAAGCCCAGTGGCCTCGGTGTCTGAAGCGCTGGCCTTCCCCAGAGCAAGTGGAGTGCATCAAGGTACCGGGATCGGGACCTGACCCCGGGGCAGAGACGCCGCCAGCCTGTTGGGCTCCGCGGTGCTGCCGCGCAGCTTCCCAAGCTGAGGTGAGGGCTCACTGCGCCTGAGCTTCTGGAAGCGTAGCCGGGGCCCCTGCAGACTTGTTGGAAAGCAGGAGGCCGGGCCCCACCCTGGACCTGCCAAATAAGACTGGTGGGCAGCCTGTGCTTAGGAGCCTGGAGGTGGGGGTGGGGGGCGCTGCCGCAAGCTCTCCTGCCGGCTGTCCCTGGCTGCGGTGGCCCTGTCTTCCCAGGCCCCCGTTCTGGGCCTACAGGATGTGCCGTACCCCCCCCCCCATAGGTTCACAGGCCAGCCAACAGGTTTCTACATCAGCGTCCTTCTTGTTTTTCTAAATCCCAGACTTCTCTCTTCTTCCAGTCCTTTGGCTTCAACTTGCTGGCCCGCTCGAGCTATCACTGGGAGCTGAGCTTCTCCCAGGCCGAGCAGATGCTGCTGGAACAGCTGGATGAGGACGGGGGCTGCCGCAGGCAGTGCCTCCGCGCCCTGAGGCAGCGGCTGGAGGACGTGTGGTGTCCCGGGAGGAGGCCGGTCATCACCTCCCACCATCTGCAGGTGAGCTGGCGCCGGGATGCGGGAGAGCCCGGCAGCTGCGGTCAGGCGGGTGCCCGCGGAGCCGCTGCGAGCGGGAGAAGGGTGGGAGGAGCCCAGGGCGGGGCGTGCCATCCCGCTAATGCTTACGCACGTGGCGTACGTGACCTGAGCGGTGCGTGCGTGCGTGCGTGCGTGCGTGCGTGCGTGCGTCTACAGCACCGACTGGGGAACCGCCTCTGGCTCCCTGCCTTTCCCTTCCAGTGACCTATTCTTGTCCCTCTTTCCCTACCCTCCCTCCTTCCTCCCTCATTACCTCCCGCCCTCCTTTTCCTTCCCCTCTTTCTTTCCTCCTCCCCCTCCTTCATCCCCCTTCCTTCCTCTCCAGGCTTTTCCTTCTTCTTTGGTATGATATCAGGGATGATTTAGTGACTCTTTTTTAATTAGCACGTAATAAGTGCCCGCACTTACAGGGCACACTATGACGCCGTGACATATTACACAAGGTACAATGGTCAGATCAGGACAAGCAGCATTTCCTTCTTGCCAAACATTCACCTGCGCGTTTCGGGTCGCCTTGACCCTCGCGGTCACTCTGAAACAGGAACTCCTTAGAGCCTGTGGTCACCCTCACGCGCCCCAGAAGGCTCTACTCACTCCAGTAAGCTGCCCCCAGGGAGCTGCCTCGTTTGACATAGAGGCTGTTGGTCTGTTTTTACATTTGTCACACGTGCTGTTGGGACTTTCTCAGAAATCTCTGCAAACACCAGTGTCTTCAGGGTCGTCCCTGCTTTCTTTCCATGTTTCCATAGTTCGGGGTCTTATGCTTCGGTCCTCGGTCCACTTTGAGTGGGTCTTTGCTTACAGGACGAGAGGTGTACATGAATCTCCAGTTGCCCCAAAACCTTTTAAAGGGGACATCATCCTTCACTGTGGGTTCATTCTTCCAAAATGTATTTTATTTTGTGACATGGAACATGTTAAAAGGGCTCAGTGTGACATATTCACACATGTGTTTAACAGCTACTGGCCCAATCCAACTTCTCTGTGTCCTCCCTCCCCACTTATGCCCCATGCTGTTCCTAATCCTGGTGAGCACTAGTCCATATTTGGGCCCATGATTTCCTTAGTTCCCAGCAAGGAGAGAACAAGTGGTACTCATCTTTATGTGTCTGGTTTCACTCACCATAATTTCCTCCAGTTCCATCCATTTTTCTCCAAATGGCAGCTTTTTTTCTTTTTCATGACTGCATAGTATTCCATAGAGGATCTGTATCGCTTTTTCTTTGTTCACCCACCTATGGATGGACACCTAGGCTGATTCCATGTACTTCTCGGTGCCCTTTTTGGAAGATTGGAAAGGAAGGGTAGGATCAAGCCTCATAGACCAAATCATATTAAAAAACTATATTTTCAGCACTCTGGGAAGCTGATGGAAGAGACTCACAAGTTTGAGCCCAACCTAGACAACTTAGCAAAACCCTGTCTCAAAATAATGAACAAAAACAAAGGCCTGGGGATGTGGCTCAGTGCAAAGGCATTGGGTTCAAACCCTAGGACCTAGGCCTGGGGAAAAAAAAAAACAACTTAGAAGTTAAATGGTGGAAAATTTGAAGTGCTTAGACAGGAAGGAGCAAAGTTTCATATTTCAGAAAGTTCTTTCAGACGGTGTGGGTGGTGGCAGGTTGAGCGGCACTGAGTGACTCCAGACAGCTGCTGCGGAGGGCTGGTGCGCTGCAGTGGCAACGTGGAAACAGGTCACTGGCAAGGAGGGCAGATCTGAGAAATCCTTGGCAGGAGGACAGGAAGGATTTGAGTGTGGGTGGTGAGGGAGAAGATGGCCCTAGGCTTGGCGTGTGGGGCGGTTCAGAGTGGCCACGTTCAGACGGAGAATTTCCACATACCCGAGCTCGGCAGAGAAGGAGGCAGAGGATTGTGAGCTAGAGAACATGATTTGCAAATCACTCCTCTTCCTGGGATGAAAGCCTCTCCAGAGGGAGGGTGTGGACAGGAGAAGCTGGCCGAAGCCAAGGCTGGAAAAGCCTCCTGGACTAGCAAACACCAAGGTCACTGGGCTTAAAGAGAGCCGCTTGTAGGATTAGTGGCAGGAGGCCGTGATGCGGAAGGGGGGAGGTAGTGAGAGGAGAGGAACCGGTGCCCAGGAGTGCCACTGCTCCGGAAGCCCAGATTTGCAGAGGGCGGAGCAAGGCCAGCAGGGAGGTGAGGGCTGGAGGAGCAGGCTACAGGGATGGGCTGAAAGGCCTGTTGGAAGAAGCAGGACCCAGAGCCCTGGGAGGGGCGGAGGAGGGGGCCCTAGTGGGGGGATGATTCCCCCTAGAGCAGGAGGCGGAGGCATCTGGCTGGAATGGGGTACCACCCGTGGGAGAGTAGTGGTCACTGGAAACGGCAGAGGACAGCGAAGGATTAAAGTAATGAAGAGGCATAGGAGACCTCTGGGAAGAGCGAGCACGCCCCTGAGGCCAGGCTCAGGGTTCTGCGACTCCTGCCTCTCCCTGAGGCCAGGCACCATCAGCCCTTGCTTCTGGAGTCTTCTCCGCAGCTGCCGGAGCCCTGTCTGAGCCCCTCTTCCCTCCTCAGACGGTGCTCTTCTGGACTTGTGAGAAGTACCCGCACTCCAAGGACTGGCGGGAGTTCCAGAGCGCCTTCCAGCGCCTGCTGCGGAAGCTGCACAAGTGTGTGAGCCAGCATTTCCTCAAGCACTACTTTGTCCCCAGGAGCAACCTGCTTCAGTCCGCCAGCTCCAGCGAACTGGACTCCCTGGCCCTGAAGCTGGCCTTCTTCCTCAAGAACCCCCAGATCAGCCTGCCCTGAGGCTGGCGCTGCCGAGGCGTCCCTGACCATCTTACTGTGACGTGACCTTGTTCTCTCAGGATGGTCTCTCCAGCAGGACCTACCCTAGCGGGGGGCAGTCTGTCCTAGCAGGAGAGGCACAGCCCATGGCAGAGGGGCCCGTGTCAACCTGGTGACACTGCACTGCAGAGGAAGCTGCCCAAGCAATGAGCCAGGCTCCGTGGAAGCCAAGGCAGTGCTCCCGACCCACACTATGGTCTGTGGGGGCAGCACTCACCAAGCTTCCCGCACCACGGGTCCTGAGCTGACGCCACCGTGATGTTCGGTTTCCCCCTCTCAGGCGCAGACTGAGATCCTAAAAGACCAGAAAGTAGCGTGCTTCCCAGGCACGGTCCCTAGCTGGGGAGCCAGGCTCCTTACCTTTCCTTTTGTGAAGTGGAGGAATTAATGTGTGTCCTCCGCAGGGCAGGATGGCCTCTGTAAGAAGAGACCCAGGAGCGACAGGAAGCCCTTGAGCTGACCTAGTAGCTGGGGCTTGCGGCTACTGCACCAGGACTATGCCCAGGTGCAATGGTAGCCGCTGATGGCCTGGCACACTTGTGCTGCCTGGGGGCCCTCCGGCTGTCCTGAGCAGAGGCCGGGGCTCCATGGCTCTTCTGCTTCTCTCAGCATGGAGGGGGTGATGGTGGTGGCAGTGCAGGCACACAGTGCACGTGCAGCTCTGGCTGCTACCAGCCGCAGCCCTCCCTGTTCCCAAGCCATGGGTCGCAGGATAGGACTTCCTGCTGTCTGTGGGATGAGCGGCATATTTTGATTTTGCATAGATTTTCTTTGGTGCCGTTGGCTTCTCAATACATTTCTGTGGTCATTCATTCATTTTTTTAAAAATGTATTTGTTACAGGGTCTTACTATGTAGCTTGGACTCGTAGTGATCCTCCTGTCTTTAGTCTCCCCAGAATTGGGATTACAGGCGTGCACCACCATGCCTGGTCTCGGTGGCCAGCTCATTGCGCCCAGGGGCAGGGCCACCACAATCTGTGCTGCCCGAGATCGAACACTCATTCATTGATAGCTAAATATGTCCTAGGCATAGGTGCTGGGACTACAGCAGGATGGATGGGCAAATGGGGCAACACCTAATGGAGAAGATAAGATACACACGAGTATTACAGGTGAAACAAGTGTGCTGAAGGAAATGAGTAGAATGTTGAAGTTGTCATGGAGGATGGAAATGCAGACAGCTGAAGTGGGAGGAGCGGGGACCACGGGCAGGCCGGTCATGAGCAAGATCACCCCGCCTGGCAAAGCTTGTGAGGAATCAGTATTGGATTCTAAGGCCAAAGTTGCGATGGCTGGCCTCTCCCAAAGCAGAGGGAGGTAGTGAATAGACTTGAAGGGGACTGGATCAGGAGGGCCGGGGGCTCACTGGAGTTAGGGACACTGACAACCCACACATCACCACATCTGCAAGGGCACTGAGGGCCACATAGAGACACAACTGTGCAGAACAGCTGCCTGGCAGTCGAGTTCTTTGGAAGACCAATCTCCTGGCATGTGGCGCTTCTCCACCAGGGGATGCCTTTATTCTTTTTAAGCCAGTACACACTCACATCCGGCACAAAGCAGCATTTCCACAAGCAAAAACTACTCGTTTTTTTAATAAAAAATAAAAACACATGGAAATTAAACGTTACTGAATGATCAACAGAAAAACTCAGGGAAGAAATTTTAAAAGTTTGTTGAATCGAATGACAATGGGAACACAATATACCAAAATCTACGGGACACAGTGAAAGAGTTACTAGGATAGAAGTTTATAGCTGTGAATGCAGTAATTAAAAAAATAGAGCAATCCCAAATAACAAGCCAATGATGCACAGAAAGATCCCAGGAAAATAAAGACAATCCAAACCCAAAACTAGTAGAAGGAAAGAAATGACAAAGGTCAGAGAGGAGATTAATGAAGGGCTGCTGAGCTTTCCAAATAGCTCAGCGGATTAAAGTACCTGCAAGCAGGTGCAGGGGTCAGGGATTCAATCCCTGGGCCTGCCATGCTGGCCCCACCCCTGGGGCACGATGAGATGGCAAATGAGACTGGGCGCGGTGGTGCATGCCTGCAATCCCAGCACTTGGGAGGCTGTAAACAGGAGACTCACTACAAGTCCGATCTAGTAGTGAGACCCTGAACACCCTGTAGACCCTTCCCTAAAATACATGAAAAAAAAAGAAATTAATGAAATTGAAAAAAAACCAATACAAAGGAGCAATGAATTAAAGAGTTAATTCTTTGAAAGCATAAACTCTTAGCCAAATTTACTAAAAGAAAGCAAAATAAATCAAACAAAACAGAATGCAACAAATTATTAACAAAACCATACATACTAAGTGGGCTTCATCCCAGAAAGGCAAGGATGGTCCAGCATATGAAATAAATTCATCACATAGAAAGAAGCAAGGGGGCTAGGGAGATAGCTCAGTGGTTTAAGCACCTGCCTGGCAAGCACAAGGACCCAAGTTCCATCCCCAGTACTGCATGCTGTGCTGGCCACCAAAATCAGGCATGGTGGTGCATGCCTGTAATCCCAGTGCTGGGGAGACTGAAACAGGAGGATCACTATGAGTCTGAGGTGCTTAGCGAGAATTTTATTTATTTATTTATTTATTTTTGCACTTTAGGGAAGGGTCTACAGAGTGTTCAGGGTCTCACTATTAGATCCAACTCTTAGTGATCCACCTGTTTACAGCCTCCCAAGTGCTGGGATTACAGGCGTGCACCACCACGCCCAATCTCAATTGCCCTCTTAGTATGCCTCGGGGGCGAACTCCTGGGCCCTGCACCTGCTTGCAGGCGCTTTAATCCACTGAGCTATAAAACTATAGTACTTCGAAAAAAAGAAGGAAAGACATTGAAGAGGACATCAGGAAATGGACAGATGTCCCCTGGCACTGGGTAGGCAGAACTAATATTGTTAAAATGGACACAGTACAAAAAATGATACATAGAATTTAATGCAATCCCAATAAAAATATCAATAGCATTCTTCACAGAACTAAAAAAAAAAAAAAAAATCATGAAATTTCTATGGGCCCAGAAGAGCTGAAGCACCGAGAGAGAAACAGGCGGCTTTAAAATCCCAGGCTTGAAGTTTTATTATAAACCTGCCGTGAAAAGACGATATAGTCCAGGCGCAAAAGCAGACATCAGATCAGTAGAGCATAATCGTGGATTAGAAACAACCTTAGGCATGTTCAGCTAGCCAGCCTTCAACAAAGAGGCAAAGAGCTGGAGAAAAGATGCCTGTTTAACAAACAGTGCTGAGAAAATTGGTTATCCACAGGCAGAAGCGTGAATGTAGACCGTAGCACTCACCCCGGGCTGAAGTTAAATGAAAATGGATCAGAGGCCTAGATATCAGAACAGAAACACTGAATCTGCTCAACATAAAGCAAGTTACACTCTCGAAGACCTCGGCGAGGGCTTTCTGAACAGAGCCCCCACTGTAGCTGATACAGCACTAACAATCCAGAAACGAGAGCCTATCAAATTTAACAGCTTCTATGGAGCAAAGAAAACAATGAACAGAGTGAAGAGACAACAGAGAGAGAGAGAGAGAGAGAGAGAGAGACAGCTACTCCTCAGAAGACCCATATCTGAAACATATAAAGAACTCAAGAAATATTAGATTCCTCAAAATAAAAGGTCTAATAAAACATACGGACAAGTGAACAGACACTTCCTAGAAGAAGAGCACATGGCTAATAGGTACGTGAAAACACGTTTCGACATCTCTGGTTCTTAGTGAAGTTCAAATCGAAACAACCCCAGATTTCATCTTACTCCAGAGAAAACTCCAAAATCCACGAGTGCTGATGAGGTTGTAGGGAAGGGAACCTACCACATTACTGGTAGGAATGTAAGCTAGTAAAACCAATATGGAAATCAGTATGGAAATTCCTCAAAAATGAAGGATAGAAATCCTCAGGGCAAGCATGACCTCTTCTGGATATCTTTGGGAGAGAGGTAAAGACAACGTCCTAGAGTGGCATATACGCAGCCAGGTTTCTTGGCAACACGACTCGTCATAGGTAAATCTGGAAAGCGGACTATACACCCATCAACAGACGAAGGGATAAAGAAAACGTGGTATTTATACACAACTCACCATAAAGGATACACTTGAGTCACTTGGGAGACAATGAACGCACCTTGAGACCGTAATGCTGAGTGAAGCAAGTCAGATGCAGAAGGTTCGATGTCCCGGTTTCTCTTAGATTAGAATCCCAAAGGTTAAATAATTTAAAGAGCAAAATGAAAGACAGATGATGAGAAATATGGTTGTTTGTTCGTTCGTTTGTTTTTACTGATCCGCCTGTTTACAGCCTCCCAAGAGCTGGGATTACAGGCATGCGCCACCACTCTCAGTCTTAATCGCCATCGCAGCGCGCCTCGGGGGCGGGGCAAAGATCACCCCCCCACTCCCCCACCCCCACACCCCCACACCCACCCCGCTTGCAGGTGCTTTAATCCTCTGAGCTATTTGGTCGGCCCTTAGATGATAAGAAATACGGAGGTAGCCTTTGTGAAGGTGGGCAAGCGGTCTGGCAGTGGGGGAAAAAGAAGAGGAGAGGAAGGGGCAATGGGAAAGATCAAGATGGGACAGGTGTGTGTGCCCATTCCTCACAATGGCTGTATTTTTAGGTCTTACAAACACAGACTAACTTTTTAAATTAAACAATATTTTCATGGGCCGGCGAGATAGCTCAGTGGACTGAGCACCTGCTTTGGCAGGCACAGGGACAAGGGATCGATCCCTGGTCCCCCATGCTGCACCAGCCCTGCCTTCTGGGCACACTGAGCCGGCGACCGAGTCCGGGCATGGTGATGCATGCCTGTAATCCCAGTGCCTGGGAGGCTGAAAACAGGAGGATCGCTGTAAAGTGTGTAGTGAGACCTTATACCAAATACATAAAAAAATGAAAAAAAAATTTTTTTTCACAAAGGTTGTAAGCAAATGCTGGGATCTGTACAGTACCACACAGGAAATCTTGGTTTTATTTTTTAATTAATTAAAGTTTGTTTTGTTTCTTTTTTTGAGACATAGTCTCACTGTACTGCTCAGGTTGCTCTTGAAATCATTGTTTGGCTCAGGCTGGCCTCGGTCCCCCCCGCCGCGGCCTCTGGAGCTCCGGCCTCACAGCGCAGACCACGACATCTGGTGCTAAAACCTGCATACTGATTTTGGGATCTTGGAAAATGTCTTTGAGAAGGTGGCAGATGCAACACGTTTGGGGTATTATTTTTAATAAGGCAAAAGTTGGCCCAGGCCTAACTCGGCAGCATGGCACCTGCCTGGCAAGTGCAAGGTCTTAAGTTTGATTCCCGGTATCTTATTTTAAATAAATTAAATTAAATTTTTTTTTAAATAGGGCAAACGTTTTGATAACAGCTGCGCAGCCACGGTATGCCAAAAATGAGTCGATGGTCCCCTTGATTCCAAGTGTGCGCATGCGTGAAGAGGGCGCAGTCTGATCCTAGCCTTCCCTTTCCCGGTGGACCTGAGACTGCGAGCAGGTACTCTTTGCTGATTTCTGACTGTGCCCCATTTGGCCAGCAGATGGCAGCGCACGACCGTAAATGAAGGCGCCAGGTCAGGCCCCGCCTTCCCAGCCTGGCAGGTGTCACCGCTCTAGACAAGCAAATGAAAGGCAGATGATGAGAAATACGGCTGTTTATTATTTTGTTTTTGTATTTTTTTTTTTTAAGGGAAGAGTCTACAGGGTGTTCAGAGTCTCACTACTAGATCGGAATCGTAGTGATCCGCCTGTTTACAGCCTCCCAAGAGCTGGGATTGCAGGCATGCGCCACCACGCTCAGTCTCAATTGCCATCTCAGCGCGCCTGG